CAGCTTGAACTCAGGGCTCTTGCTTAGCTTTACTATTCACAGTGGTGCTCTACTGCTTGATCCATACCTCCAGTTATATAATAATTTTTCTGCCCCAGAAAGCCTCAGACTTTATCTTCCAAAAGCCAGCCTGAGTAGCAAGAATTACAGGCATAAGCCACTGGTACCCAGCTATAGTTACCTTCTTTATGGGAGATTTTCCAACTAATCTCTGACCAACTGGCACAATCTGATATCCTAGTAAAGCTAAACCAAGTAAGAATTTCTCTGCCTATTTGTCCCCTTCGTACCAATGAGCTACTTTTGTAGACTCTACTAATGTGTGTTTGGACTGGACTAGAAGTCTGAATTTATTTAGTCACTGCTCAGGACTGGTGATTTTGCTTAGGTTTTCCAAATTACATGGATGTGGAGCTGATACTGATATAGTGTGATGGTTTCTCTTTTTTGAGAATCTTTAAGGATGATGATAGATTTAGAATAGGATTGATTTAATTCCATCTTTGCTGAAGAAGCTTTGTTGCTCAGAGGATAGAAGCTTGTTCTATTGAAAGAAACTCACTACCATAGACAACTGAACCAGCCCATTCTGGCTAAGAACAGATAAGAAGAAAGATAATCTACATGATTTACTTTAGTTGAATTAATAAATTTTAGATTGACTGAGCTGAACTTTAACTAAAAGAGCAAGAGGATTTGATTTTTAGATTGCTCATTTCTCCTTCAGAATTTAATAATATAAATTAAAATTTGGGCATTTAAAAATTGCTGACCTGTAAATTTTGGCATATTTTCTTTCTGTCTTATTAAGCTCATTGCATAACTTCTGATAAGTTTTATTGTGGTTATGCAAAATTTGAGATAGAAAATAGAATAGAGAATGAACGGACTACTTAGACTGTGGGGAGCCTGAAAATGTACTGTCTGATCTATTTTAGAGCTTTCTGGAAGCTGAGGCCAAACTGCCCACTCCTGATTCCAGATGACTAGCAGGTCTGCAGGATGTGATTCGGAAGAACCAGGACTGGGTCTTGACAGATCCACAAGGCATTTCTCGCAAGCTGAACAAACATTTCATACTGAAGCCTAATCAGTTAAGGGAACACAAAACATTCCCTAGTCTACCTTTTCAACTCTAATCAATAACCAGAAAACGCTCAGATAAGGGTATCTTTCCCCCTTTCTTTCATATTCTTCCACACAGGATGAGAGCTAACGTAAAGGAACTGTTCCATGTGACTACTTCCTGTCAGCAACCGGCCTTGTCCACTGCAGGACTCACCCCTGGCTTCCTGATAGAATTGCTTTCTGGAACAGTTCTAAGTCACACAGTTTCCCTTAAGTATGAAAATAGTGGAGATTTTGACACTGTATTTGATTTTGGTACCCTGTGTGTTGTATATACGTCTATCTGAATTAGGGAAGGGATGGGGAAAATGGACAAAGGGGGAACCAATGCAACAGTGATCTCACAAGACAGTATGTTGGAAATGATCTTTCCAATTTGTGGGGTGAGGGTATGGAGGTGGGAAGGGAAAGTGGGAGAAAAAGGATGGAGGGGCAACAATGTTCTACAAGAATATGTAACTGGAACCCATCACCTTGACAACAAATTTAAATTTTAAAAAAAAGAGAGTCCACTGGCTACACTCGCTAACCCAGTAATTCCAATAATACTTGTTGCTTTTATTGTTGGTATATATTTTCATCTTTCCAAAGTGTGAGAGTGGATAGGAATGAAAGCAGGGACTATGATGGAGCCTCACTTCCAAACTCCACAACATACAGGCTCTGGAAAGGGGAGGGGGGTGGAATCACTGGACTTTATCTGCCCAGCTTGGCTCTGATCCTCCAGTCCCATATATAGCAATGAATGACAAACGGTGAGAGCTGGGACAGAGGTAGACTACCAGACAGAAGAGGAAAGGAATAGGAGTTGCCTAACTACTTCCAGATTGAGAAGCATTAGGGAAGATACTAGAAGGCCTTTTTAAATTCCATGATCACACAAGGGATTTTAAAGGAGGATTCTAGTAAACTCCTTAGCAGCATTCCATGATAAGAATAATTTCCAAGCATTTACGTATGGATAGAGCTGCATCAGCAATCAAAGGCAAGTGGGAGGTAGAAACACCATGGCTGAGGTTGAACACATTCCCAGATACCGCTTCGAAGTCAAGCAAAACCTGTTTTGACCAGCTTTCATGTCTTTAATTATTTTTCCAGATTTCTAAACATATTAACTAACTAGCTCACTATGCTTTCGAAGAAAATGTGGCTAGCGGCTAAACTGTGTAAGCATCAGGTAACTGAGTGCAAAGAACCCGCCAGGGGTTCAGCACAAAAGTCACACTTGGGGACATTTCTCTTTGAAATTCTAATATCTGAACAATGGTTTACGGTTTTTGTTAAACACTCTTGAATAACCCTACCCATTCTTTCTAAAAATTTGGTTCTGAATTAAATGTGGGTACACATTGGAAAATGGCACAGAGTATATGAATAACACACATTTATTTTACATTTTTTAACACCATGTACAAGCTGTGGGAACATCTGGTGTTTTGCAAATTTGGGCAAATGCAGCTGCATTTTTTCTTCCAAATGTGTCCTCTGACACGTGTGGGTTGTGTTTCATTTTCCCTTTTATTCTCTTACTCTTTCTGTCTGTCTCTTTCTTCTCACCTTTATGCTTTTCCACTCTGATCATAAAAACAAAGTTTGTCAATTAATAAAAAGGGAGAAATTATTATAGCTAAACTGAAGATATAAAAGTAATTTCAAATATAGCTGTTTCACCTCTCTAGTTGATATGACTCAGCAGAAAACCAGCTCTTCAGCATAGTCTACAATAAAAAACCCTCCATATCTAATCAAGATGCATTGTACCTATAAATTGACATGTTGAATTGAAAGTCCTTTGTACAACTGCTTACAAATAATAAAAAAAAGTTTAAAAAACAAAAGAAACATCTATACTTAGATTATACCATCTGAGCTAAGAGAACACAATGAAGTAATCAACAAACTATTGCTCAGTACTTTACCACTTTTTTTTTGGGGGGGGGGGTAAATGCTAGCCCTGTCCTTCGGCTTGAATTCAGGGCCTGGGCACTATCCCTGAGCTTTTTTTTTTTGCTCTAAGTTAGCATAATACCACTTGAGCCACAGCCTCACTTTTGGCTTTCTGGTAGTCTACTAGAGAAAAGAATCTCACAGACATTCTTGCCTGGGCTGGCTTTGAACCACAATCCTCAGGTCTCCTGCTTAGTTAGAATCACCCGCATGACACACTGGCACCGACAAAAGTAAATATCCAGGTTGGCAGTGGTGAGATTCAAACCCACACTGGCAAAGTAGATGGAGCCTAAATCTAGTGCCTTAGACCACCTGGCTATGCTACTGTCCTCTTCACCTTCTCCTCACAAAAATACACATGAGCTCAAATAACTGCTTTTCAGAGGGCTGGCTGATGAAAATTTAAGATTTAGGTGATGAGCATGACTTATAACTTAAAATCATCATATTTAAAATACCATAAATCGTAGCTAAAATTCTACCTAAGCTCTATATGCCAATCTTAAGTATTAACATGAATAAATAATTGCTGTTGGAAGGTCTAAAACTGTCTGTAACATTCTTCTATACATATGCTTACAATTAGCCATACACTGCTGTTAACAATTCCAACCTCACACGCAATATTCAAATCGTCCTTCACCCTGAGTGTGGGCTAAGAGATTGCCTTGAAAAATCTCCTTGTTCTTCAGCCAGTGCAAGGTTCTAGATCTGGAGCCAATTCCTTGGATTTCAAACTCCCCCAGTGGCTTAGTCCCGTCCCACACATTACCACCTTTCTGACTGCTTTCCTTTAGACTCAGCCTTACTGAGAATACAGCCTAGAACAACACTGATCCTCTTTGTCTGAAATACTTTAGGCTTTTTGATCCCAATGAACTCCCCCAGCTTCTGCACTGGCTCTAGCAACAGAGCCTAGCAACAGTATAAACATGTGGTTAGGAGTAAAGGCTACGGGATATCTCCTCCAGTTCAAGTTATACCTTCTCATTACCAACTTAGTTTTGCCTATAAAATCAGGTAACAATTTCTCTCACACACAGATTACTCAACCCCAGTCTCCTCTGGAAGAAGCAAAAGTCTAATAGAAATGTTGAAGATATACCACACAATGATGAGTGGCACACTTAAAGAGTTTAAAAGCAGCCATATAGGACTACGGAGTTATGCTCTTTTAAATACATCATGCCATCGCCCTTCAAAACCATTCTTACCTAGTTCCTTAAACACAAAAGTGTGATAGTTTTCTCCTTTTTAGAGCAGGAGTTAAAAGTTTTAAACCAAGTTGTTATTCAATTCCTTGGGTTACAATAAGAAAGTGAATAAGCCCTTCCTTATCCACTACTATGAATCCAACAAGTCCGATAAAGTCTAGCATTCTACAGGAAGAGGTTTAAACCTCTTCCTGTACCAACTTCTAAACAAATGGTTTGCAAGTCTTTGTAACTATCCTATTGCCATGAATATTGCCATAACAAAAACATTACAAGAAGATACTGAATAGACTTGTTAGCATAGGGAAAAACAGAAGATGGCAAGAGGAGACAAAAAATGAGTTCCAAAAGCAATCAAGTTCTGCAGATGAGAAAGCAGACGCTAAGATTTAATGGCAGACATATTCCTGGGCACAGATTGTGACAAATGGACAAATTTGTTTAGCAGTGGTATCTGGGTGGAAAGAGTAAGGGGAGGAGTAGGACCATGTCATCTATTATGAATACATACACATTACTGAAAGATTGCAAGTAGGCATTAAGATAGAGCCAAAGCACTACCAGCCCCCTCCCCTGAAAAAAAAATCAAGCATGTAATTTCCTTCTACTTCAAGAAAGAAGAATTTTAAAAAGCAAATTTCAAGAACACAAGAACGATTTTCATTCTTTTACAGCACTCAGACTACTTGGGTCTAATTCTTCTGTTACCTTGGTCACAGCTTTTGGAGAAAATGTAACTGCATCCACCACAGTGATGAGGTCACCCGGGTGGAGGCGATCAAAGTACTTCATGCAGACATCATAGGCACGAAACCATTCGGGGGCAGACTCTGGGACCTGCTTGATGAGGTGAGGGTCTCCAGTCCAGAATAGCTTTTGTAACCAAACAGTGTACAGAGAGCTTGGTGAAAGCATGCGTCCATCCTTTTCGGGGATTTTGGGAGCAAGCTTGGAAATAGATAAGATATTCTGACTTGTAAGCACAGGTTCCAGTGCTTCAAGAGGACTCATGTTTTCATCTGTCAACTTTTTATAATTAAGACCTATTGAAGAAAAGAAATAAGAAAGAAGATAATATGGACATAACCCTCTGTGAGGCTGCATGAAAAGATCAAGCAATTTATACCAGATCAGAGGTTCTGAATTCTATGCTAAGCCTGAACTTTAGCGAGCTGTGCAATCCTACACAGGTCACTCTACTTCTTTGTGCCTCAGTTTCCATAACTGTACACCTGCCTCTTCAATCCCCAACAATGCCCTACACTTTCCTCTACCACTGCATTCATCAAACTGACTTCTATATATTCCTTTATTACTTCCTGCTATTTCCACTAGCTACTTGAATTTTATTTCTCACCTCTCAGTAAACAACTGATTAATGAAATACACTCTCACAATTGTTATGACTATCAAGTGACTATGGACTTGAAAATGCCACAGTATGATAAAGCATTATAGTAATCTTTAGGATAGTAATGTTTAGGATATGTTTAATCTTTTCGTTATGAGCATAAGAATATCATCTGAAAGATTTACACAATTCATTAAAGCTGCAAAGGCTCATTAGCTAACCACTGGTGCCTCATGCCTGTAATCCTAGCTACTCAGGAGGCTGAGATCTAAGGATTGCAGTTCAAAGCAACTCCAGGCAGGAAAGTCTGTGAGACTCTTATCTCCAATTAACTACCAGAAAACTGGGAGTGGTACTGTGGCTCAACATAGTAGAGTGCTAGCCTTGAGCTAAAAAGCTCAAGGAGTAGTGACCAGGCCTGAGTTCAAGCCTCAAGACTGACCAAAAAAAATAATTAAAAAAAAAAAGTGTTGCATATCTTACGTAGGTTTCAATGAAGTGAAATTCTGTCAAATAGTCTAATGTTAAGTGTATGAGCCATATTATAGATAGATAGATAGGAGAGGTTGACAGGCATAATATTTATACAATAACCAACCGGAGTGGGGAAAACCCCAGGAGTAGTGGGCCCAAACTGATTTTAGTACTAGATCAACCAGAAGTCAGTATGTGACTTTTAAAAGGTTTCTCACTTTATCTGATACTGAATTGCCTCAACCAATTCGTTTATTTGAAAAGATAATAATTAACAGTGAAAGTAAAGGAAGGAATGACATTTCCCCCCCAAAATGTATGCATTACCTAACTTATGAAATGGATATCTTAATAAAAACAATAAAACTATATTTTTAAAATAAAAAAGATAGTCAATTAATTTCAAAAATCTATGATTTTAAATCTACACCAGCCCCAATACACATGAATATAAATGTAGATAGAAAATTAATTTCTAGCTTTACTTCGGAAGAATGAGTTCACACAGGATCACAAGCATGCTACCTGATGCAACTACTTTAAATTTCTTCAGCAGCCGGATGTGGGTTTCTGGTTTAATGGCAGGATTCCCAATGTCTGCACAGTCACAATTTTCCAGAAGTGTAAAATAATACAGTAACCTTTCATGATCAAAGCCACCAATGGTGGGGTAAATATACTTGACCATGTGCTTGTGGAAGGCTTCAGGATCAGTCTTCAAAGTCTCAAAGAGATGAAGGGTCTGGGCTCGCTCTTCAATTTCTCCTGTGGACAAACTGAAATTAAGAGATAAGGAAACTAGGTTAGAACTTGGTTCTTATGTTAAATAACATGATTTTTTGGTTATCTAGGAAGAAAGTCTAATTGTTAGTGGTGTTCTTCCTGTGTAAAGAACAGCAGCCCCTCAGGTCCAGAGGCCTATCAACGCAGACACAAACGTGTTTTCACACATTACCTCAGGTGAGTTTATCTGTAAGGTAGATACTCCTGCAGCTGGAAGACATTTCCAATGCTCCCCAGCTAGACAGTACATTCCTATCTGCAACTTCTACCTGAAATCACTTATTCATGCTATAAAAAAATGAAAATCTGAGACTCTGTACAAAACTGTTGTAAACAATCTTATTGTTTCAATAATTTAGAAAATGGTGTATGGGATTAAAGGGAGAAAAACAAAAAACAAAAAACACTGAGACAAAAGTTTTACATTCAAGAGTCATGAATTGATATCCAACACACTTCAATTTTACAGTATGTTTAAGTAAAACTTTTACTTAGGTTGATATATAGGAACTCCATTGAATAAAAGATATGTCCTGCCGCAAGCCGGCGGCAGCTCACGCCTGTAATCCTAGCTACTCAGGAGGCTGAGACCTGAGGATCGCAGTTCAAAGCCAGCCCGGGCAAGAAAGACCATGAGAGTCTTATCTCCAATGAACCACCAGAAAACTAGAAGTGGCACTGTGGCTCAGGTGGTAGAGCACTCACCTTGAGCTGAAGAGCTGAGTTTAAGAGTCCAGAGTTTAAGCCCCATGACTAACAACACCTAATTTTTATGCTTAGATAGCTTTTCATACTGAATGTTAAATGTGATTTTTAAAAATTGTTCAATGCTGAATTATTCGGGGAAAATACTTCAAGGCCCTATTGGTTTGATTGACTAGTTTGTTGTTTTGAGTGGAGGTGGGAATCTGGGTCTTGAATCTTGGTCTTGGGGGCAATCTCCATGCCTTTGATAGCACCAGCTTGCATTCTCCAACTGCAAGGGCCTTAGGCATCAGCAGCCTTTCATGCTAAGAGTAACGCTCAACTATCGGGGTTCCCACACAGCAGGGGGAGTACCTGGGAACTACTGAGGTCCCTGGTAGCACTGAAGTTTGGGCTCACGTATGTGTAACACAATGCCTCAGAAATGATGCCCTGTTTATTGAAATCACCATTTCACAAAGTGCTAAAAGGCATATGTTTGTTATTTATAGACAAAGTTAACATGAATTGTTTTCCAAAGATTTTATGACAGAACAATAATACTTGGGATAAAAAAGATAATCTATAAAGTCAAGATATCAAGTTTATTTTGCTACTATTATTTCTGTATTAAGTTTCTTTATTGCTGGCTGAATGGGAGTTTGAATTCATGAATTTATACTCATTTGGCTGGTGCTCTAACATTTGTGCCATATCACCAGCTTTGCTTTATGCTGGTTATTTTGAAGATGGATCAAAATTTCCTACCTGGACTGACATGAAACCAATCTTAGCCTTCTGGGGAGCTAGGATTATAAGCATAAACTACCAGCACTGTATTCAAATGATTTCTGTTTTTAATTTTCTGCTGGTCTTAGGGTTGAACTCAGGCCTAGATGCTATCCCTGAGCTTCTTTTGCTCAAGGTTAGCAGTCTACCACTTGAGCCACAGCACTATATTCAGCTTTTTGGGAGTTAATTGGAGAGATGAGATTTCTGGACTTTGCTTCCAGGGATGGCTTCAAACCATGATACTCAGATCTCAGCCTCCTGAGTATCTAGGATAACAGGCATGAGACACTGGCACCCAGCTAGTGTTCAAATAATTTTTTATTGTCTTTTTACTTCAAGAGGAACATTTTACTCCCATTAGGACACAGTTCAAACATTTATAAAAATAAACATCATGTGTTCAGTCTATAAAACTTTTTCTGACAGCCTATTAAACTACTGGCACATGCTGAAAAGTCTTCCATTGTGGTACCAATAACATGTTATAACTACTTATCACTTGTCTCTCTCACTAAACTATGCTGCTTGATGGCATGGGTCATTTTACATCTTCTTTGTCTTTAGCATCTCAATAGCAAGGTCCAAACTGTGATGGCTGCTTATACTCAATGCATGTCCATGAACACCAAACAGACAAATAGCTAAGCATGACATCAGGCACCAAGCTCAAGGAAGAACATGAAGATTTACATCACGGCATTCTCATCCAGGTTTGAAAATCTAGTTGAGTTAAAATTAGTGTTAATTTTTAATGCAAAGTACTGTTACAAGCTGACAAAGGACACAAAATTATTTTCCTATTAAGAGCAGGACCCCTGAAAACCTATGAGTTCAAAGGAGGTGGAAATCAATAGTAATCGACAGCTGACAGAAAGAAGTACTTGAGTTTGACAGGCATGAAGCAGAACTGTGAACAAACCTATCAAGAAAGCACAGGCTGTACAAGGAACAGCAAGTACACATGGATGGCAGGTCAGAAAACATTCTTGATAACTGCTGCTACTGAAAGTGCAGTCATCTCTGGAAGATACTGGATGCAGAGTGGCATAGGAAACGGGCTCAAAAGTAGCAGTGTATGTCTCATGTTCCTTTACAATGAAGTCTGAAACAATTAAGGAGTAAATAATAAAACCATGTAAACTCATTAAGATGATGCTTATTGACAGACTTACAAGTCAAACAAGGTACAAAACAGATGAAAGAAAACAAATCTGCATTTATTATGTTGGTCACTACACAAATATATTTAAGCTATCGATGACAAACTTGCATTGAGAGAGGTTAAGTGACTTAAACCCAAGCTCAGCTCTGTCCAGACCACACCACACATGAGCGTACTAACTGATCACATAAGACCAGAGTCTTTCTCTAATATATTAGAATAAGGTCTTAGTTCTCTCCTCATAGCAATAATCTGAGTTCTCCTGCCATACTCTATCTCTAACACCCTGATAAGCAGAGCTTGAAGGCAGACTCATATACAAAATGGGCAGTGATGGTAAGCTTCTTTAGTTCATCTATGTTTGACTGGATTTTGAGTACAGTCTCTCTAAGTCAACACTACATTTTTCCCTTGCCCACCCACTTATTCTGTGCCTACAATTCAGGTTGCCTCATGTGCAATTTTACCTAATTATCTTGTCAAGGCAGATACTAGAATACCTTTACTGACACATGATAAATACTCAAATCTCCTTCTTCAGTAAATTACAATGTGTTAAGATCTTTTTATAGATGCCAGTAATCAATAACTCATTTTAATGGTTTCCATTGAAAGAAGCTGTTATCTTCTATTTGGAATAAGAAATGAACTCTTTGCTCAGAAAATGACTCCAAAGAACCTACATTCAAGAGAGTAGGAAGAAATCCCATAAAATCACTGTGGATTTTTCTCTAATCAATTAATGATTACCTTTAAAAATAGTTTTATCAGGTTTTCCTACACCAAGTTTTAGCTATAAAGCAGCTTATATATATGTATATATATATACACATACATACACACACATATATATGTATATATACATATATATGCATATATATTATATACACACATATATGCCATATTTAGCTTTCAGAGATTACTAGAGATAGAAGCTAGTATTAGTTGTACTCAATGCACAAAGAATAAATTATTAGGATTAATCCCATGATTAACATGTTCTGAGATGGCTTCAAGTTACCGATTACTCAAAATGTGGTTCAAAAGCATGTATTTGTATAACAAATTTATTCAAACGCATTTTTCTTCACTTAATCTGAGACTGAGTGCTAATACAATTGCACTAGGAATACTTAAAACGGAAGAGGAAGGAGAATATAAGAAGAGGAAGAGTGGGAGGGGGCAGAGGAGAAGGCTATGAGAAAAGTTAAAGGGAGAGCAAAGGGGAGAGGGATGAACTGAAATAGAGTTTACAGAAAAACTGCCAGCACTTTTGTCTCTATTATCTTATTTAATTCTATTAATAACTCTGTAAAAAGTCATGTTATTGTGATTCTTTGAAGGAACCCAAAGTTTGGACAAAAACATAACTAATAAGACATAGATAGGTACGGACTCTAAGGTGAGTCCTTCAAAGTCAACTTCATTACTCCTTAATCAAACAACAAAGTCAATGTTTGCACCCAGAACTTTTCTATTAGACAAAGTTCATATGTAGCAGCTTGGGGGCATTTTCCTCAAAGGCTAATCTATCAATCCCAAATAATGACCACCAGGATGTCTTCATCACAGGTGACAAATGACACATCTACTCTCTGAATTATAGCGATTCCCTATAGGAATGACTCTGAGAAGTCACCACAAGAATGCCTCATGATAAACCTGGTATGGAAGGGGTGATCATCAATCCTGCCAAACAGCTGAACTCGTAATTCCTCAAGGAAAAAGTGGACAATATGAATTCAACTAATTTTTCAACATCAATACTGAGCATGTCAGAGTCTCTCTCTTGTACCACAGGTATTTGGTGAGTTCCTTTATAGAACGTCTTATGATATAAACAAAGTAGTTAACATAAAAACCATATGGATAGGTTTTATCTCCTTCTGAAGGACATCCCTGTGCCATTAACCTTTTTACTTTCACATAATATGTCAATTTGGACTAGTTTATATAGCCTCATATAAGAGAGGAAAACAAAAACAATTTTGAGAAGTACCATGGCATAAGAATGCTAATAGGCATCATTTATGGAGCACTTAGCATGTGCCTGAAGCACTATGCTCTCATAATCATTAGAGAGCAATAAATATCCTTAACAACTTGAAAAAGTATTCTTGAAAAATAAGATGAGCAATAGTGGTCAGTTATGAGTTTATTAATTCTAGAATGTTTCCAAAATTAAAAAAATAGGCGACTCTGTTTTATTTTATTTTTGATCACTTACTGCATGTCAGGTGCTTTAAGTCTCAAAGAAGTCATGTAAAATGACTTGTGAACAGAAATTCTATGAGGAAAAAAACTGACTTATTGTTGACTCTGTCAACAATACACTCAACAAGGAAGGTCAGGAGG